CCTTTTCCGGTTTACAAGTTCAAGCAGTGCTTGGACTTGGTTGGTGTTCATTGTTGGTGATTGCCCGTTGGGGCTTTTGTGAAGAAGGTGGAGCAAGTTTTGTTGGGACATGCCAAGGTGGAGATTTGCTAGTTTGGCAAGTCCCATAGTCCCACATCGGGAAAATCAGACTTGTTGTCTCATCTTGGAACTATAAATAAGGCATTTTGTAAGTGTCCCTCTTTTATAGTAGTAATTTGCTCCTCTTTCTTCCGTGGATGTAGGTCAAAGTCAATTGACCGAACCACGTATATCTGGTGTTCTGGTGTTTTGTTTGTTCTTGTCACTTTTATCTTTTCCGCTTTATTGTCTTTGTTGTGTTGCCAAAATTACCTTGTGGTAAATATCTTGGGGCTAGTTCTAACATTGAATACTATAAATATGACATGAAACAAGATAGATGATGAACATATGAGAGACTATCCTATCGAGGTCCAACCATCGAACTCTTCCATCCGAATGCGTTTGAACTTCTTGCTTCCGAGTGACATCACATCGAACGCGACAAGACTCGGAAGAAGAAACGAGGTCGGAGCGACGATCAAAATTTGCACCGACGATATATCAATCGGATACTTGGAATTCTGGGTTGGATCAGCAAATACCAGCAGGCCTTATAATTGAATTACTTATTACCATTCAACGATCGGTTTGTTTGTATCTTGGTCTGGAAAACTGTCGACCTTCGGAAGGACGTAACTTTAGATTCAAATCTCTCTGCTTCTTTCTCTTGGAGAAGAAACAATCACTGGTTTTTGCTGGGTGTCGGAGCTTCACGTCGCCATGGCGAACTCAAATCTCCTTCGCCGAACAGAGTTGGTGGAGAGGTAGGTCCACGCCACGGGCGCCGCTGCCGCTGAGCCATTTGCTTCGCCATTAACGTGCTCTGCTGTCCTTTTTATCTCTTCTCTCGCTGCACTGGCGCTCTTAATGGCGTCCCTGCACCCGACTGCTGCTACTTGGATGGCATCACCACTACTATCCGAAGGCCAAGGCTCAGAGAGCAGGCCACGATGATGATGCCCACCACCCATTTCAATGGCAATGTTGTCATCGTTCTACTCTTGGGGTATGTATGAGTCAATTAATATCATCATAACT